CTTTCTCGGGACATTCAAGATTTACGGTTTCTGGAGAAAGATCGACAAAAATGAAGATATAACGCAATAAGAAAAGGCAAAAAAAAGGTGGGAGAAAAAATGGAGGTGAATTTGGAGAGGAAGAAAAAGGTGGTCAATATATGTTATATTTTCTCAAGAAAAATGGCGAACTAATCATGAAGTCATGATATATATTGGATGCTACTAGGGTAGCTTATAAAGTTATAAGAACAAGTGACTTAATATTATGCAGGCTGATAGGCACACACCTCACATTCAACACATGAATGTGAGAGAGAACGAGAGAGAGAGGAGAATGACAGCTCTTACAGTGGATTGCACTGCACATGTGTGAGATCTCGCACATGTTGACTTTAGGGACAGCAAATACACTGACTTTTCTTCACACGTTAAGCGACGTTTATTTTAAGAAAATTGATGTGCACTCAAGTTTTCAAACATTGCTAATTTTGAAGCATTAAAATAATCACCTCAATGACTAAAATTAAGTGATTGTTGGCTTAGGTAAGAGTCTTATTGTCTTGGTTTATAAAATGAACCTTCGAGTAAGTGATAGGTGTTGCATAACCATTCGGCCGTTGCATACACTTTACACAAATGTGCATAATTTTATTTTAAAAAAAAAAAATATGTACACGTCGAACTGGTTGGGATCTTAGAACTGTATTTTTGGATTTTATCTTCCTTTTCGAATGCCTCAATGGGTTAATTAATGTTTTTAATTATTTATGGACATAAGTTTTAACATGCATAATAGAATTAAACTTTGATGCTCTTTATATATTCTGATATGGTTGGGATCTTAGAACTGTACATGTTTTTGGATTTTATCTTCCTTTTCGAATGCCGGGCTTAGACAGCAAAAGAAGTTGAGAATGAAAAAAAATATTGTGCTTTAGCTTTAGCCTATCAATGAAAGAAGCTCCGGTTTTGAGTTGCCAATTGGAACGAATGCTTTTCTTTTTCTCATTTTCTCCCCTTGGTTTAATAAATTTATTTTCCCCTCGATACTCGATCAAAATCCTTTGTTTGTTTACTATTTGTTGAATGTATCAGCCGGAACAAATAGATGTATCAAATTCAAATAATGTGGTAACTTCTGATTGGAAAAATGAAAAAATATAACTAAAATTGTGGTTTTATATGTTTAATATACCAATTTCATTAAATATGATACACACACAAAAGTCAAAAGGAACAGAGCTATAAAATATTCTAAACGTTAGTCAAATCAAACCCATATGGGGAGTCTTCAGTTATATGAAGCTGCACATTAAACTTGAAATGGAGCCACCATTCTTATATCCTGTTCATATATAAGCTGGAAAGTGGAAACTGTACTATAATATTTACACCAATATAATAACCTCATTCATTACGTAGCATTATCAGACATTACATTGGCTTACATCCTCTGCATATCGGCTATTGTCTCTATCATGTTGATTCTTTTTTTAGGCGAAACAACCAAACATTTCATTGCCACAGTGAAAATAGACGAGAGACATTCTTCTGGAATATTCTCTCTCTCTTGCTAGCAAATCAGGGGCCAAAACTTCATTAGCTGCATTGTTTTGCAATGCTCCATAGACCCACTCCTTTAAGCTCGTTTTTCCATCAAACATGTCCTCTGTCGGCTTTTTGCCCGTGAAAATTTCGAGCAAAAGTATGCCGAAGCTGTATACATCACCGCTCGTCGACACTTTCCTTTCTGACATACTCTGGTTTGTATAAACATAGGATAAGATTAGATTAGACATGTCAATTTTGAGGAAAAAATGAAACAAGTTAGGGACATTGCTGTTTAAATAGACTGGCCTGGCCTTTATGTTTGACCTGATTATCAGATAAATCAATGATCTTTCNTGTCATGTAACTTGAACTGCCAATGGAAAAAATTTCTTGCTCTGTCCTTTTTTTCCCCCTAATTACTCCTATCACATAACAGCAATGAAAATTAATAAAAACAATAATAAACAAAGGAACTAAGATAAAATTAGAGAGACAAATTCAACTGACCTGGTGCTGCATAAGCAGCTTAGCTATACCAAAATCACCTAAACAAGCAACCATATCTTCACCAAGCAACACATTGCTCGGCTTCACATCACAGTGAACAATGGGAAATGTGTAGCCATGATGAAGATACTCCAAGGCCAAAGCCACTTCTATTGCTATCTGCAGCCTTTGCATCAAACTCAAGTAACGATCATCCGCGCACAACCATTTCTCCAGGCTCCCATTTGGCATGTACTCGAGAATCAGGGCTTTGAACTCCGAGTTGCTACAGCAGCCCACCATTCGGACCAAATTCCTGTGCCGAACCTTGCTGAGTATCTCAGTCTCGGTTTCGAAGCTGCAAACGACTCTTTCTGTTTTCGAGTCGAAAACTTTTATTGCTATGTTCGACCCATCAGAAAGCGTTCCCCTGAAAACAGAGCCGAAGCTGCCTCTCCCGAGAAGGTTTGCCTCGCTAAAACCATTCGTACCTCGCGAAAGTTCTATATACGTAAATCTTCTGCAAGCAATTCCGAGCAAGGTATCATCATCAGTAGTAATTAACATTAATTGTCCTCCTCTTTTATATATCCGTCGCCTGATGAACAAAATTATAACGGCAGCAGCAAGTGTAATCGACACGAAGGGTGGTAGAATGTACTTCAGAACCCAAACAATTTTCTTCGCTCTTTTTCTTCTGAAATTCTTCTCAACACACAGGGGAACATGAAACTTCGCTTGACCGCACAGACCAAGATTGTTGAGAAATGAGTCGGCAGTGAAATTGATGAAACGGCCCACTGAGGGTACCGGGCCTGCTAGCTTATTGTTGCATACATTAAAATATTGAAGAAGGCTGACGTCTTGTAAAGTCTCTGGGATTGGCCCAGAAAGATTATTGCTCGACAAATCAACTGCCCTCATGCCTCTAATGTTTCCCAAGGACTTTGGGATAGCTCCCTCAAACTCGTTGTTCGACAGAAACAAGGATTCTAATGACCTGCAGCTGTCGATCGAGATCGGAATGTCTCCCGAAAGCTGGTTATGCGAAAAATCTATAAAACTGATTGCTGTGAAACTCGCGAGCTCTGACGAAAGTCCACCACTCAAATAGTTGGAAGACAGATTTAGAAACAACAGGTCACGAAGATTCCAGAGCCCAGAAGGTATAGTTGAATTCAGCTTGTTCGATGCTAAGAAGAGGGTTCGAAAAGAACTAACTTGACCCAAGCCATTCGGGCAAGGGGCCCATGAGAAGATTGTTATTCAAATACAGCTCACCAAGATTCCTAAGCTGGCATATATCAGGAGGAATATATCCTTGCAGTTGATTCCCCTGAAGACTTAATAGTTGGAGTTCCTTCAAATTTCCTAGTCTCGGTGGGATAAACCTGTCAACCGATTGTTATCTAAATATAGACTAAGCATACCGCTTAAGTTTCTGAATTCGGGAGGAATAACACCCTTAATATCACAATAACTCGTCCCAAAATAACTCAAGGAGGTGGATAAATTTCCGACTGAAGATGGGAAGATGCCTTTAAGTGGATTTAGCGATAAAGACAAGCGTTTCAAATGTCGGCAACTGTTTAGAGATGAGAGGAATCCGAGTTCTTGATCCTCGGATTTTGCTCCGGTCAAGTTATTCTTATAAAAATTGAGATGACGCAACTGTCTTAAGTTTTCCAGGTTGGGTCGTAGCTGCTGAATGAGTTTTCGGACATTTCCAAGATTTCGAGCTTGGATGCATTGTTGATAAAGCTTGGAATTTCCCCGCTGAGTTTGTTGGAATACATATATAGCTCCTCAAGGTTGAAAAGTGAGAACTTGGGCCGGGGGGCAAGTGGCCAGAAAACTGGTTGCTGGAAAGTTCCAGACGCTTCAAGGTTGATACGTTGAAAATGCAAGGTGGGATGGAGCCGGATAAGGAATTACTGAAGACTGTGAAGGTCTTGAGGGATGCTAGGTTACCAAGTTGTAGTGGCAATTCACCTGCAGTACAATAGAGCAGTTACGAATGACAATAGTAACTCGTAACATATATATGATTTTTCTCATCTTAATTTGTTTGTATTTGTAAACATATATACCTGTTAAGTAATTATACCCAAGTCGTAGATGCTTAAGGGAAGTACAGTTTCCAATTTGATTTGGTATGGGCCCTGTAAGTGTGTCAGACAGAACAAATCGCTTGGTATGAATTGAAAAACCCTATAAACCTGGGAGTGAAGCTTGAGCAATGTGTAACATCTCCAACTGTGAGAGGCTCCCCAGTTCCCCCGGAATTCCACCTGCAATTGTATAATATTAATTAACAGATCAAAAATTAAAATTATCTTAATGTCAATTTTAAGTACTTTTTTTTTTCTAGAGTCAGCTAAGATGTGATCGAACCTTTCAAAAAACTAAACCCAAGATACAGCTCCCTGAGCATACTCAAGTTTCCTATCTCAATAGGGATTTCGCCATTTAAATGATTAATGGACAAGGACAAGCGCTCAAGCTTTCTGCATTTGTCTATATTAGATGGAATTCTACCCTCGAGTTTATTAGCCAACAGATAAAGCAGTTGCAAGTGCGGGAGGTTATCGCACAAACCAGCTGGGATCTTACCTGAAAGGTAATATTAGTTTGTACATGTTAAATCTGGTGCTTCTTGTGGCATAACAAACCAATGCAAAAGCAAAGAGGAAAAAAGAAATAAATAAATAAACAAACAAACCTAATACATTCTCTTGCTGTTTCCACAATAAGTTTGACCTTTTAAGTTTTAAGGACAGTTCAAATTTCAACTGTATTCTAGCATTTTCAACACATTTTGAGTGCATACATTGTTGTGCTCATATTTAGATAGCTACCTGAAAATTCTATGGGCATATAATTATGGAAAACAATATATTTCCTACAAGGGAAACAGAGAAGATTTTAATACCTGAAAATTGGTTGGAAGAAAGATCCAAATAGATCATGGTCGTATGTTGAAGATGGAAGATGGCATGGAGCCCGACAAAGAGTTGTTTTCCGCACTGAAATACTCGAGCGACGTCAGATTACCCAACTCTTGAGGTAATTCACCTGCCATATAAACTCCATAGATGATCATATAACCAACTTCTTATAAGTTAAAATCTCTTTTTTCCATTCAAACACATCAAATCAATAACTTGTTTTATAATAAGATCTAACAGCTTATTATAATATAAAATGCATAAAATTATTGGTAAATTTATCATTTGATACCTTCAGTTCAACATTTATATACCTTTCAAATAGTTAAACCACAGGTCTAACTCTCTGAGCTTGCTCAAGCTCCCAATCTCACGTGGGACCACGCCATCCATAGTTCAATATTGATGTCGAAGTACGTCAGGAACGTGAGGTTCCAGAGCTGGTGGGGAAGGCTGCCCGTGAGGGCAAAACCGGAAATATTCAGGGCAGTGACTCGTCGGTGGCGGGCCCCACAGGAGACACCGAACAAGTGGCAGATATTGGGATTCGAGGTGTCGGCTGACCAGTTTCGGGCCAATGGGCTTTGTGGGTCTGCTGAGGTGGCGGCTCTCAAGGAGAGGAGCGCGTCTCGGTCGGTGGCTGAGTTTGGGCGTGTAATTGCGGCTGAGGAGGGCTTGATGTTGATGGTATTGAGTAGCAGCAGTGAAAAAGCAAAGTAAAAGCATGGAAGGCACTCCATTTGATCAGCTGCTAATTAATTTGCAGGGATGAATGCTTTATTTACTTGTGCATGTGTATAAAATGAAGATATTATTAGGACACCTACTTGGTTTTATTACAACTTCACATTTCAGATGTTTCTTGTCAATGTTTTACAATTCAAGATTAATCTTATGTAATGACTGTTTATTGTCTGCATGCATGGTTACCGTTGAAACTAAAAACACCTAAAATTAAAGATAAAAACACCTAAAATAACAGTTATTTTCAACGTAATCATGCCCCATTTCGCAGGACATCATGTACATATATAAATTTGTGAATTTTTTATATATTTTGTGGATGAAAAAGTTTGCGTATTGTGCATCCAAAACGTTTTGTCGTGGTTGGGAAATTTAAGATGCAGGGCTGAACTCATAAATCTTTTATATATTACTCCACCATTACACTTATAATAAATGCATTATTTGCTATGTGAGGGAAGATATTTCAAACATTATCATTCGGTCTCTATAGTTGACCGCATCAGAGGCCCGGAGCCGTCCAAATCTCATCACTGAGACACAGAGAGGTTTATTAAAACTTAAAAGTTTAACCCCAAAAAAAAGGCAAATTTGTGCAACTTTGATTAACGGCAGTTAAATAAGATTTTAAATTTGGGTTCCCCAATCGGTAAGAAAATACTTCCGCTTTTTTTGTTTAAAACGAATTGTCATTTCTAACTTTATATTAAGAACTAAAAAGCATAAAGATTTAAGTAATGCATCAATAATCAATTAATAATATTGATCATTACATCATAAAAGTAGTTTACAAAACAAGATTACCTCAACTCAGACCAAGACGTACAAAAAAAACAAACAGAGCATCTCTCTGTCTCTGTATCTATGTGTGTATGTGTGTGTGTGCAGACTCGGTCATTAACTCAGCTACAAGAATATCCAGACCGTGCAAGGATACTATGAACAATAGAATCATGAGAGCAAATGCAAAAGAAATTGCTATAGACCCAAAANAAAAAAAAAAAAAAAAAAAAAAAAAAAACCGAGTCAAACATGCAAGAGGGCTAGCACTTGTACCTCAAAACCACATCTCATGTCGACTGCTCATCGAAACCTCAGAACCTGCTGAAGAACCTCAAAACATGGATGTCAAGTAACTTGGTCCTGCCCCTGTTCGGGCCGCTCCTCCTGCTGGGCCCGAGGCCCATCCTGCGAATGCCAAACAATCTCATCAAGACCAGGCCTTATACCCTCATCCAACATTTTCTCATACTCCAACGTGTCCCCACTATTCTTCCGGACCTCGACCATATGCAGACCACGCGCGAGCGAAAATATCTCGGCATCAACCGACAACACTCCTTTCCTACCTTCCTTCAACCCCTCAAACCTAAACAGTCCCCCGTCCTTTTTGTTAAGCCTCAGCCTCATACGCCTGGCAATCTCTTCCAGCTTGGAAATTATGACATTCACGGGCCTCCACGAGACATATCTCATTTCTCTACTCCTACAAGACTCCTCGAACAATCTCGAGAGACGAAACCCATTCGACTGTGATATTATATCAAACGCGTTCAAATTCGAAACCCTGGGGACGTCTTGCGACTCGGCACCGATATTACTCGTCCCATTATTTTCCGAAAAATCATTCACTGACAGTCCCCGTCTGAACCAAGTGCTTGTACGGATTCTCGCGATCGTGATTCGGGTATTCGGGTTCGGGTCGAGTATTCTCGATATCAGCCTCCGGGCCTCGGGGGAAAACCACCTCGGAAACTTAATCTCACCTTTTCCGATCTTCCTGTACAGCTCCATCAGATTCGTATCATGAAAAGGGAGGTAACCGGCAAGCATGACGAAAAGGATGACCCCACAAGACCAAACGTCGGACATTGTACCATTATACCCTTTCCTATCGAGAACCTCGGGTGCCACGTAGGCAGGGGTCCCACACGTGGTGTGCAGAAGCCCGTCAGCCCGTCTCGACTCGGCCAGGGCACTCAGCCCAAAATCGGAGACCTTCAGATTCTCATTCTCATCCAACAAAAGATTCTCGGGCTTCAGGTCGCGGTGGTAAACGCCTCTACTGTGGCAGAAGTCGACAGCGTTAATCAGCTGTCGGAAGTATTTTCGAGCCACGTCCTCTTTAAGCTTGCCCCTGGACAGCTTGTCAAAAAGCTCGCCTCCTTTAGCATACTCCATCACGAAGTATATCTTAGTTTTCGTGGCCATGACCTCGTGCAGGTAAATGATGTTTGGGTGGCGGACGAGCCTCATTATAGAGATTTCACGTTTGATTTGGTTGATAATCCCGACTCTGGTTATCTTGTCCTTGTCGATAACTTTGATGGCCACACTCTGGCCTGTCTGGACACTTCTGGCATAGTAGACTTTCCCGAAGGTGCCTTGACCTAGTAATCGGCCCAACTCGTATCTTTGCATCAGTATATTTCCTCGGTTATCCATATCAATCTATGAAGACTTTTTTTTTCAGGAAAAAATAAAAAAAATCTATAATAATATTAATCTTTCACGTTAACCTGTGATAATGAATTAGAGGAAATGTAAATTGCCTCATCCAACCTCAGGGAAAAAAATTCACGTCAGCAAAACAGGTAATTCAGAAGTTATGGACCAATTACTTGATCCTCGCTCATCCAGACTGCAGAATACCAAGAAGCGGTAAGCCTCAGAGTAAGAAAGTCTTATCAAGAACATTTTTTTGCATTCCCTGGTTTGTCTTTTGGAGATCGATGAAAGAAGATGCTAATATGCCTGGCCACAGAATTAACAAGAAGTCGGATCAGAAATAGTAATGCATAGTCAATAAAAGAAGACAACAATATACAAACATATGGACCAGAAAGTTTCATATCACAGTATATTTGCATACTAGAATGGTGAGAAGAGACTGTTAATGGGATTAAATGTTCTAAGCTAAACATATGAATCCGAAATTACTACCAAAGCTGGTGGTTCTGCAGGTCATCCCGACTTGTCTCTTTGGCAGGAACTAGATAGTGTAGTTGTTGAGTAGTAGTGATTAGTAAGCTTGCAAGTAGAAGGAAGCCGGATGCAACTAGTCTGTATATAAACTACAAAGCATCCCTGGATTTCCTTATTTTTATTTTTTTTGTTGGAGCAGGGAAAGTTTATGGTATGAACCAACGAGAAAGGGACTTATTCTATTTGAACAAGACCAAGGGAAGGAGTCACACGGTTAACCGAACCAAAGTTGCCTAACAAAAATGTCATGTAGCCAACTTTAAGACCATAAAATGTCATGAAACACATAGGATGTGATTGCCAAGTTCCTGACACAGTAGAGTTTGTCTGTGTAGTATAAGGATAGACAAACCAAGACAACACATCAAGAAACTAACTTACTTTGTAAATCAGATATAGAATCCACATTCCATCATGTAAACGCGGTTACCTTATAATCCACACCGGGTATTACAACTAATGTATACTCGATTATGACAACACTGATCAGCTGTGAAGTCATCAATCACTATAAAATTAAGACTCCTTCAGTGATAATGGACTCATAAAGAAGCCAGACTGTAATTGCTAAGCTTATTATTCTTAAATTCCTTCACATTTCGTTAAATTTACCACATCCATGAACGGTACAGTACACAATCAAATGCACTAACCAAAAACATTTCGAAGTCAAGAAACAGATCATCATTTTCGATATAGCATTCGTTAAATAAGCTGAAAATGTGAATACAGATCCGATACAGACGTTCAAAGATTGAGAAAAATATTAATAAAAACAGAGCTTTTAATAATATACAAGGATACAACTGGGAAAGCTTGTGCAAATAGGATCAAGGTCGGGTAATTTTCTACGATCACGTTAGAACATATGAAATAAATGTAAGGGGATAAACCCTAACAGTCGAAACTCAACAATCAGAAAGGGGAGATTCACCAAATTTAGGGGCAATTACAGCCCATATGAGAAAACGCTGAAAAATATAATATAAATTAATGTTCAGACTTCATGGGAAAAGATTGCGAAAAACCCATAATAACTATAATTCATCATTTACCTTCTCAGATGAACAATGAGACCAAATAAAAACAAAATAAGATATAAATAAGGAGAAAAAACAAGAACGCCCAATTGAACCCCTACAAGAGAGAGCCTAAAGACTGCAAAAAGATGCAATTTACCAGATAGTTTTTCTTTCCCTGAGCTGTGTCTATGGTTCTACAGAGAACTAGCTTCAAGGAAGAAAGATCCTTTGTGATTCCATAGAAATTGATGAAAATTAATTAGTCCAGTCCAAAATGACAGGTGAAATAATTTTTAATAAATGTTTTATTTCTTTTTTTGATCGGTCTGTTTATTTATCTATGTAAATAAATAAAAGAATGGGAAAAGGTCATTACAAAGAACTACCTTGACTGTTCGTATAGTTACAAATAAATTTAGTTTTTCTTTTTTTAACTGTACAAGTATGATAACAATCAATCAAGAAATTTAATTTTGTCACGTATTCTTTATACATTAGATTTATTGTAAGTATTTAAAACAAGCATTAATAATTTATCAACAACAACAACAACATAGCCTTTAGTCCCAAGCAAGTCGGGGTAGGCTAGAGATGAAACCCAAGAGAACACAAAAAGACTCGAATCGAAAAGAAGAGANAATAATTTATCATCCATACAAAATACAACATATGAGAATAATCGTCTAAGTTGTATAATGTATGAATATAATATATTAAGAATTACAATTTAAAAAGAGTAGAAGAAACTATAAACAATGTGACTAATAAATATAACTTCTTTTGCTCAAACTAAGAATTGAGAAAATGTTAATACGTATAACATATTAGTAAATTTTAACCAAAATCTACTTCTTTTACTTTGTATATACTTTTAATATCATTCTTACGCAAATTCTCATATTTTAAATTTTTATAATTATAGATAATTTATTTAAATTTTACATTGTGCACGACCCTTTATTTATTTATATATTATCAACTAGACTAACTATCAGGCCTCATTATTTATTTCTAAAATATTGTAAAATATTTTTTAGAATCATTTTATTTTCAAACATCGCTAATAATTTGTTAGTTATATTGTAGTTATCTTTTCTGCACATGTATTGACTGTGGTTGGGTCGGGTCAGGTGAAAATTAAATTTAAGAATATAGATTAACCGTTTACTTGTCGAAGTGAAAAATAAATAAAATAAATAAAAAAACTCGATGGTCAATAGATGTGTAACGAATTGAGTAGGACAAAATATATTCGGATCCAATTCGAGTTAACATATTCGCACCTTACTAAATAAGTAATAAACACTTTTAAAAAATTTATTAATAAGTGCCATTGAAAACAGTGCATTGAGGAATAATGTAATACAAATGTTGCTCCAAAAATAATGAGTTGATGAATAATTTTTGGATCCACCACTCAAAAGCTTTGCAAGAATGCATATGCATAAAAATTCTACACAAATGCTATTGTTATATTGTTAAATAATCATACTTTTTTTTTTATGGAGAATGCATACTTGTAAAATTCATACAATTGTTTATTTATTATTATAGTTAAATAATCAATACTTTTTTTTTTTTTATGGAGAATGCATACTTGTAAAATTCATACAATTGTTTATTTATTATTATAAACTATAGCAACTGCAATAATGCTAAGGAGTCAACTGTTGGCTCCGTAACGAAGCCAAAATTGGCTCCATATCATTACTGATAGCAACTGAGTGTAAAAATATGCATACATATATTGAAATAGTATGATTGTCTAACAATTAGACCGTATAACGTGAAAATTCATGAAAAAACTTTGATGGGGAAGTGATTCTTCAAAATTTTTCAAGAAAAAATTGTTTCACCATGACAAATGAAGTAGAAAGAAGATTTTTTTCTAATTAAGAATGAAATATTTTAAAAATGTGACCAAATATAATATATAATTATAATAATTAAAATTAGTGTGGTGTGGAAATAGTTATATATTAATTTATAAAAATTTGTAGTCATAAAGTGCGAGTAAATAGTATTTTTATTTATAAGCATGTAGTCATAATTAATTTTAAAATTATATTGATGAGAGTAATGAAGAAACAATAAAATAAGACCATAAGTGTAATTTTTAAAAATAATCTAATTCAATATACACAAATATTTAGCCTCCATGTAAAATGTGAGAGTGCTATTTGCAGTTTAATATTGACTCCATTTTCTATTTTTAATAGGCCAAACTTGTTACTTATTTTGCCTCCAACCATTTGTGAGAGTGCTATTTGCCTGTTTATAGATGACCTCATTTTCTATTTTCATTATGCCAACTTTNATCGAAGTTCCAGGCTTGCCTGACTAGCATATGTGATTGAAAAGTCATATACTAATACTAATACTACTCATCAACCACCCAACGCCAACCAACCCACATTTGTGTTAGGCACCACATGTGAACATATTACATTTGTTTCCACGATTAGGCACGCATGTCAACAAACCTCGACAGCAAAAACATGAAACATCAACAAACCTCAACCAGAAAAAACTCCAACACCAACAAGTGCCTCAAGCGGCTAAAACCAAACGGAATTCAACACAAACTGCAAACATAAATATCTTACCAAAACAAATCTTACCAAAACAAAACCACCGCAATCCCAACACGTAAAATCTAAACAAAAGGAGGAAAAAATCACATTTACAATCATAAAACACAAATACAAAGAAAACTCCAAGGATTAACCCGAACCCTCTTTAACATATGCAATTCAACTATAACACTTATACAGCCCGGGTCCATAATTTGAAAATCCCGAGCTCGTGTGTTATTATTATTAACCTGTCCCTAGTAAGTTTACACGCGCCGCAAACTCAGCCGGTTTGCTGTTACAGTTTCACATTCGGTCATAAACAATCATACAGTATAATCGCGCGGCCCATCCGCACAACCATAGTCAAAATACCGAAAACACCCTTCGTCAAGCCCTTCCCGAAACTACTAGTTATCTTGTCGCATAATTAGGGGCCTAATTTTGTCCCTCCACAACGAAGAGAAAGCCCGGGCATCCCCGGCCTTCCTCTTCACCTCCACCACCACCAAATTGTCGGTCAACCGATACACGTCGAGCCCGACAACAAAATTACCATTTTGCCCCTCCAAGTCCACCCCACATTCCTTGGTCCTCCTCAGCTGCAGCCCACCGTTCCCTTCCGTCCCAACCGCCTCCTTCACCTTCTCCATAACCATCTCCGGCGACCCGGCCGCCGTTATCCTGTCCACATCTTCTGCGGCCTTGAATTTCTCATCGAACAAGCCCGACAAATCCAGCCCGCGCGAAAATGAGATGATGTCGAATGCGTTGAGATCTAGAAGCTTCTGCTCCTCTTCCTTCAAAACGAGCCCGTTGCTTTCACGTTTCACCTCCCGGTAGCCCGGTTGGAACCACGGGTCGCGCTTAATCTCGTCGATCGTGATTCGGGTCTCGGGATTCGTGTCGAGGAGCCGGGATAGTAGGTGCTTGAGCTCCGGCGACATCCACCTCGGGCACCGGAACTCGCCTTTGTAGATTTTCTTGTACATGCTCATCAAATTAGGGTCGTTGAAAGGGAGATAGCCTGCCGTGAGGACAAAGAGCACGACGCCGCACGACCAGACGTCCACCCGCGCGCCGTCGTAGCCCCGCTTGGCGAGGATCTCCGGCGCCACGTAGGCGGGGGTGCCGCAGAGCGTGTGGAGGAGGCCGTCGGGCCGGATCTGGTCGTCGCGGAAGGCACTGAGCCCGAAATCGGAGACCTTGAGGTCGCCGGCCTCGTCGACGAGGAGGTTCTCGGGTTTCAGGTCGCGGTGGTAGACGCCGCGGAGGTGGCAGTATCCGACGGCGGAGATCAGCTGCTGGAAGTATTTCCGGCCGAGGTCCTCGGGGAAGCGGCCCTTGGCGACGCGGGCGAAGAGCTCGCCGCCCTTGACGAACTCGAGGACGAAGTAGATCTTGGCCTTGGTGGCGAGGACCTCGAGGAGTTTCACGATGTGGGGGTGGTCGAGGCGACGCATGATGGAGATCTCGCGCTTGATGTTGGCGGCGAGGGTGGCGTTGCCGTTGAGGCGGCTCTTGCTGACGACCTTCACGGCCACGCTCCGGCCGGTGGAGATGTCACGCGCGTGGTACACCTTGGCGAAGGCGCCGCAGCCGAGGAGCTTCCCGAGCTCGTACTTGTTGAACAGAACATTTTCAGGCGACGGTGAAAGGGTAGGCGCGGCGACGGCCTCGGAACTCGAGGCCTCATCCATCTCCGGCGTTAGTGGGCCCACCAGGCACAGAAAAATCTCGAAAAATTAAAATAGAAAGGGAAATCTAGAAAAAGAACCTGAAAAATCAGATGTAAAATAAAACGAAGGTAGACCGAAAATCTGGGCTTGAAAAAGGAGAAATATTTGGTTTTCGTTTCTTCTTCTTCGGGAGAGGTTGAGAATAAGAGGATCTTTTGAAATTGATATAAGTGTAATATTAGTGGCTATATGCGGAAGTGAATTGGACAGCTGTGCCAATCAATAGAAGCCACTTTTATAGGGATTCTTTTTATATTTCATTTATTTATTTATTTTTTTTGCTACAAATTTATTTATTTATTTTTGAATATGTGAACGGAACGCGTACGAATGGGACTGAGGTGGTCCAAAATTTGAAAGCAGCGTTTTTTATTTGCGCTGTCAAAAATTAGGCTGAGGTCAATTTTTTGACTTTCACAGTTTTTCACTTTAGCCTTTACGAAAATTAAGATATGAGGGCATTGGTTAGGCATTGCTTAGTACAAGTACGGATTCGATGTTTTGGCAAGCATCATCACCCTAGTTTACTTTTTTTTTTTCAAAAATAAAAATAAAAAGTGAAATGGAGTGATAATGAGCTGCCATCTGACTTTTTAAGTGCATGACTGGATTATCTTAGGTAAAAAATTTATTTAAGGGGTGGTTGACAGTGTGTATTTTGGTTTTGTTTTGATTAATTGAAATATTAATTATTTTAAATAAAGTTGATTGAGTTGATTGTTGAGTCATATGTAAATTGAGGATAGATGTGATTAGAAGTTATGAATAGTTAAATTATTTAACTGAATAAATAATAAATTAAAGTTGATGCGATATGTGAGATGATTGATTGATATTATTAATTTTTATTGATAATATTAAAGAAAGTTGAGTTGAGTTAAGTTTGAGTTAGATTTTGAATTAAAAATGTATAAATGATTGATTAAATAGGTCTAATTAAAACAACTCAATTCCAATCGCCCTTACAGGGGTGCATTAGTTTAGGATTTCGAGTGATATTTTGACACTTTTTCAGATTTTTAGATTTATGAGGAATGTTGTAAAATCTTAAGTTTTGAGGTGAAATTTGGAGTGAAATTTCGTATATGATTTTTTTTTTCTTTTAAAATTCCAGCAAATCTTAAAATGTTTTAACAGTCTCCAATAAATTAATACCTCATGATTTTATATGACTTTTTATAATTTCAAATGAATACACCAATATTCTTAAAAGTCTAATTAAATACATGGTCGAAATGCTCAAATTAGACTCATTCAAGCTCCTTTAGAACAATACTCGTAACCATATAAGAGACATTTATTAGAAGAAGAAAATACCTATTTTTAATAATCAATTTAAATATATGAATTTTACTGTATAAATTTGTACTATTGAATGGACAGCCTAACTATGAGGTTTTAATGGAACTTAAATAGATGATACTCCTAGTCTAATTTTGGGCACGTCGCGTAATGTGATCGGCACACGTGTTCGTCAGCCCGGTTTTAGACTCATCAGTCATGATTCATGTGGTGTTTATTTATTATATAAGCGTGTCTCACTTTCTAGGAAAAAAAAAATTAAATAAACTAATTTTCTATTTCCTATTTATTGTCAAAATAATGCAGTTTTTATTAGTCGAGTGTGGCGCTGGAGTGCATCATTCATCGTTAGTCGGTAATCAGTTATCCGTCAATTTTCATTGTTTAATAATTTATTCTATTTAATCATAATTCTTGTTTTAATGATATACGTACATAAGTTAAGACTCAGCAAAACTGTGGAAGGGTCCAGAGCGAGTAAGGGTCGATCCCACGAGGAGTAGGAATTAAATCGTGATAATCTCGTATTAATTGAATTAAACTAGGAAAGCAATAAAGGTGGGGGGATTGGTTTTATAAAAATAAAAATAAAAATACGAAAATAAAATAAAAATCTAATAAAATAAGAGAAGTCCAGCTTTCGGTTCTGTTATCACCCAATCTAAATCTGCCGTTAATTAATTTCGAAGCTTTCTCTAAATTGCTAACGAATTACCAACCCTAGCTAACAACAAGCTCTGTTAACCGAATTTTCCCTTACCGAATATTTAATCGAAATAGGCTCTTCGACTAAACCTAACTAGCGGACAACCTAGAATAAGCTCTCTAGATTTAATACACTAGCAGCATTAATTACTAGGAAAATAGATTGATCTAAGCAATGGACGCAAAAGCTCGGACCATTTAACTTATGTTCATGCTACCCTAGAGATGCGCGACCCCTAGTTTACTACTAACGAAACGAGACAATAACAATTACGGATTAAAGTCTCGAATCTAGCAATTAAACTATGAATATTCAACGTAGTTGGCCAGACTAAATCAAACACCATAATTTATAAACATTAAATATAGATAACATGAATCAACTCATCAACAAAAATAAATACGACGTCTCGATTAATCAACGATAAAAAAAATAGATCCTTCAATCCATAGACAAATCAAAGTTAGGGTTCAAACATCCCCTCAAACTGGATAAAAATACTAGTCTAACATACTAATAGAAATAAATAAAAAAATAAAAGAGAAAAAATAAATCTCCCTCGCGTGCGGGTGCGGCTTCCCTCCGCGTGTGTAGCCTTCTCTCCTTTTCTCTCTGTTGCTGCGTCTTTTTCTTTTCTGTCTGCGATCCTCTTCTTTTCTTCTCTTTTTGCTTGCGGCTTTCTTCTTCTCAAAAAATAATTCCACTCTCTCCAGAATCCTAATCTAATTAGGAGTTTTCTTAACCACTCACAAACTTTCCCAGCAAATAATTCTCATTGTGAGTTCTCACTTTGGCTACGTGTAGCTACCACAATTCAAGTCCTCCCTCGGCTGCGTGGCGTGAATATTTCCGCGTTTAATTTATTTTGGGCCCAAATAAACTCCTCCTCCCGTAATGTTGTTGCGTGGGTTCTTTTCACATTGAGTTCTACTCCCAGCCAATGTCTTGTGCCTTAAAAAATTCCACCAATTGAGTCCCACTCACGGTTTTTTTTATTAGTAAACTTTAGCCAAATAATCTCTTGCACAACAAATTCCCCCAGCCCCTCATTAACTATATAGCCTTAGATTTAATATTTTAACAACTAAGCTTAAACTTGGGCTGAAATTGGGCCCGTATGGAGTGCTCGATAATTGATCGCTTCAACTTTTGTTCATTGCTTCGCGTTCACAAAATACTCCAATAAGCTGAAAATAAATATAAAATAATCAAAGCAAATAAATCTATTCAAATAATAAATAAGTTGAAAAATATAGACGTGCAAATAAACTTAGTATATAAAAATACACTATTATATATATAAAACGTGTACATTTTTCGACCTATCAGGTCCAGAATATTTATTGAGGGTGGACCCAAAAATAATTTTCAAGAGAGGGTAGGATGTCGCAAAAGAAAAGTTGCCTTTCTTCATTTATGATTTTATTAAATAAAAAAAAAAAGATTTGGGTCGCTAAACTTTTAGCTATAATTTAAAGAGCACTATTACTTCATGTGATAAGGTTAAGTAAAATTAATATATAATCAGGGAAATTTACTATTCAAATTTGATTGATTTTGTATTTTTTTTCTCAACCGATGATATATTATTAAAGGCTGCAAGCATGTAGAGAGTTTGCTGCATGAGTGCGTTTTAGAGAGAGATAAAGGGGTGTTGGTCAATGTTGTGATATTCTCAGTGAAACCAAACCTATTTTGTGTTGTAAATTCAGACAAAAGTAAAAACAAAATAAGATGGTGAATGTAATTGACCAACATTTTGGTTCTTTCAGCAGCACCAACATTAGTTTTAATGAAGGACACCAAAATCTGCATGCCATCAAATAAGGGTGTAAACTAAGTCGAGTTGAGCTCGAGTTAACAAGTCAAGTTTGGCTCGATTTATTAACTTAACGAGTCAGTTAAGCTCGATTTCAGTTGGTTTATCAGTATTAACGAGCCGAATTAAGAAATCATATTTATGTGCATTAACTAGTCCACCCGAGTTCATCTCGTTAAATAAATATTGGACTCGAGTTCAGTTCGTTTATCAATCAAGTTGCTTGAGCTCGAGTAGTAACAAGTAGAACCGAAACGGAGTTCACCAATGAGTCATTTTATTTAACAACTCTAATGAAGGGTCAATGATATCTAGAGAATAAAAAATTAGGGATATTATGGCGATTACGTCTACAAATCAACCATGATAAGATTTATCGGCCCATTTTGATCCGGATAAGTTATCCTCATTTCACTGAATTTTGTCCCAGATGATTACGTATTCATAAGCCCGCTCTTTAAGGAAATAAGGAACTTAACTTTAAATATTAATTAAGTACTATGGCATGAATAAGAAAAATAGTAGATTTAAAAAAAAAAAGAAAAAAGAAAAAAAAGGTGGGCCACCAAATCATCCTCAAGTATCTTAAGTCACGTATTATGATAAAAGAATAACAAAAGTGAAAAGGAAAAAGGNACAGGACGTATTTTTCACACCCCAACATTAGTAAATATTAATAGCATTTAAATATTAATAATAACAACAACATAAAAATAAATACGTCTCATAAGTTATTATAACCTACTCATCAAATCAAAAGTGATATTAATGTGAAACAAGAGCAATACGCAAACACTATTGTAATGCTGGCCCACATTTATCTTGCTTTAGGGCATGTACAGCTTGTTCCCACACTTGCACCTCCAAGCTTCAGGGTAGTACTCTGCGGTGACCGGGTTACCAGGTGGCACGGCCACATGGACCGCTTTGCACGGCTTGCACCTCCCGCATTTCGAGTTGCACCTCGGCGGTGATGATCCCGGCCCACCCAGTAGCCTTCTTGGACCGCCCACACTCGATCGTGCCCCATTGGCCGTCTCCCAAGTCCCGTTTGTGTCGAGATTTTTCGCCATCGACTTGAAAAAATAAAATGTTAAATTAGTTAGAACCAATGGATATCAAATTCAAAAGGGTCAAAATATTATCAAACTCTGGGCCAGAGCTGAATATTTTTTTATCAAAATATTATCAAAATATAGTTCATCAAAATTATTATTATTATTTTTTTTTCACAAAATAAATAGATCTGAGGTAAAATTTTAAATAAATGTCATAAGTGAAATTAACTAAATGGAAAAGTGTGAAAGGGACTAGAAGTTCATACCTCAAACCAAGTGTAAACAGCTTTGATAGTCCATGAACAAGGAACCTCTGAAAAACGAAGCACTTATATAGTTATATGTGAGGATTGGATTTTTTGAGATTAAAATTATAATGAACATCTAAATTTAGAGTCCTCTAACATGACTAAAGAAAATGAAGATATGAATTTATTCAGACAGTCTCAATAAATTTTGTCATAAAGACTTGAAGAGTTTCAAGTTAAGAAATGATTGTCTAATATTTTCTATGTGCATTTGGAATGAGATTTTTTAGATCATAAATTATGTATATCATAAAAGTTGATATTATAGACATCATGGAAATATTATTACTGAATACATTCAGTAATGTAATAACCGGCAAGTACCCAACTGTCGTATAAAAACGAGATAGATGTGAATAAAAATCTTGAACCTAAAGCCAGAAAAAAATGTACGAAAAATTTTCGATATTCAAGGTGAAGAAGTTGAAAGACTTACCCGTAAGACTCTCTGTGTTGCGGCCAGTAACGTTCCATGTTGCGTAAAAACATGCCGAGAAGAAGAATGTAAGAAAAACAACAGATATCCACTCCATAATAAGCCTATTTCTTGTAATAATCTTCTTTAAACACTCCATGAATCTACAA